GCTTTGGATCGGCCGCCAGTCAGGCGCCAAGGAGCCAGGGGAGGTGGAGCATCCTTCGAAACGTTTTTGTGTTGCTGGAATCAACTTTTTTCTTGCACTCTCGGCCAGCACTTAAGTGAGCGACTCTATAAACCTCCCATGAATCCCGATGTCGTATCAAGTTGCTTACGCGCAAGTTGCGCTTTCCTTACGCGACCCATGTTTTAGCTTACGCGGCAGTCAGACAGCATGTAAAGCTTACGCGTCGCTCTTACGCGTCGGCGTTTTGAGCGCTTCCCCTCAAGAATTGCTTACGCGGGCTTCGCGAACCTTACGCGCCTGCTTACGCGAGCTTACGCGCCCGCGCCCCTGTAGTTTTCCTAAATCAGCGGTTACTGAAGCCTTTGTTTGCCTAGTGGAGGTTGCGACAGCACCTAGCATGAGCCCCAAGAGCTCCCAATCAAAGTTCTGCTGGGTTTTTCTAATGGTGCGCACATGCGGTCTTAGACGTCTTCCTGCAGCCAAAGTCCTCCGGGCAAGTTGCCAAGTTCGACTAGGTTGCAACAGCACAAGCCACCAAGAAACGCATGAACACATGTGGGACAACTCTTCCGAGCATGCTTACAAAGCTTACCAAGCCATCACGAAGAAGAGCTTACGCAGGTGCTTACGCAACATGTTTCCCCAAAAAGTGCTTACGCCCGCTTACGCCGTGCAGGCTTTTGCTTACGCGGGGCCTTGTTATGACACAACCTTGCTTGGCATGCAACGGGGGTGTTTTAGAGCTGCTCAAGTGTCAAGCAACCCCTCTTTTCAAGACTTCCCGGAAGTCTTTCCTTAGAAATCCTCCTTCCCATCCCCGGAAATTGTTCCAATCTTTCCGGGGAACCTGACACTTCCCTTTGCCGGAAGAGGGGGGGGACTTGGCTCTGGGAAGCAAAGTCCCCGCAAATCAGGCACATCGAAAGAAAGGATTTGGGCCTGCTTGTTAACATTCCAAGCCCTGGGCCGGCGCACTGGAGGTTGTTTCCCAGGGGCTCCAAACAGCATGGCACGTCCGGAAAAAGTCCGGAAACAACTGTTAGAATGTTAACAAGCAGGCCCAAGTCCTTGTTCGCGATGCGCCTGGTTTCCGGGGCTCTCCAGAAGGTGTCTGAACTGGTCTGAACCAGGTCTGAAACCAGTCTGAAACCAGTCTGAAACTTCGGAAATGATCCCCCCAACCCCGGGATCCTGAAAAACTTGGCTCTTACCACGCTTTGAACCTTCTCAGCAGGCGAGCAGCAGGAGTTGGGGGGATCGTTTTCGATGTTTCAGACGGGTTTCAGACCTGGTTCAATCCGGTCCCACAAATCAGAAAATGGACTTGGGCCTGCTTGTTAACATTCCGGGCACCCCGAGCCGGCGCACTCCAAGTTGTTTCCTGACTTTTTCCGGGCTTTTCCGGACGTGCCATGCTGTTTGGAGCCCTGACAGCTTGCGGCAGAATTGTGGCCTGTGCAAGGTCTGAAGCAGGTCTGAAACATAGAATATAGGTGTATACTATATTCATTACTATGTTTATATAAATTTCTTATCATGTTATATTGATAGATCTTGGTACGGTAGTTAGTGTGAGGAAACGGAGCGGCTTTCAGTAGCGACATTGTTGCCCGATGGGGTGGGAATCGAAAGTCTATGCCCGAACCGACACAATCCTAGGAACCGAATCGACCAGAACTGAATAACAATTCTGAGAGATTAGTTCTTCATGACGGAGACATGGGAACATTTCTATCAATCTTTCGACATTACACCAGTATCAGGGTGACCGTTCGATTGTCAATGGGTGCGGTTCGGTTCTTTTAGCATTGAATTGAATTTTGGCTGCAGGTGGTGCTGGTCAAAGTAGTTCCTGGGGACATCCTGCATAGTTGTCACTGCCTCGGCGGTGAGCAATGTTGTTGCCCCATCCAGGATGACAAGAACAGTGATATGTTCTCCAGTTCCAAGAGGAACTTGACAGTGATCAATGAATGTCATGTCTCCGACTGTGTCCGCTCAAAGTCCACTCGTCTTGCTTTGTGATGGTGCAGGTTTTGCTGCTTGGCAAACTTCACATCCACTTCGGATTTTATCAAATAGATCGTAGATTGATGGTGGCAAGTGAAGCGCACGAGTCCTGAATCGAAATTGGTCTGTAGTCATATGGTGATGCTGCAGGTGGAGCTTTTTCAGCTCTTCTGGTTTGGACAATCGCTGATGAATTCTGCCTTTCTGTTTAAGGGAAGCGGAAGTGAAGTGGGTTCTTCCCTGGATGGCGTTGCAGGATCTGGCTCAATAGTCGACTGGCCCTGCTTGTAGATGATCCTGTCTGCTGCCGATCCTGAACCGGATTCCTTGTCCTTCAGCGAATCGTCCCCGAAGGTGAAAATGGTCTTACCCTTCTACAGGTTGATCAACGGTTTGTTTGCCTGGGATGTAAGTCTCCAATTGTCTTCAAGGATTTCAGGATCTCCACCTTTGGATGCATCAATGATTTCCGTTGTACGCTCTCGGCTGATGTTGTCAGGATTAACTGGACACTCTTTCGCTCCCGTTGGTGTGAACAACGCTTTGCGAGGCGTGATGCGCACACGGATGAGCTGCTTGTTCTTCTTGTCGGGTATCCAGTGACACTGCTTGAGAGAACCAATAGTCTTCGGAGTCGCTATCTCTTCCTTCGCCTCGGAATCTTTGGACGCACAGACTTGTTCACTCCCTGAGTGTCCCCTCGAAGGGAAATGGATGCTGTTGTCATCATCGTAAACGTAGTTGGTGAGGCCCTGGATGGCGATCTCTCAGTGGGATTTCACTCTTGCTACTCCAGCAAGATCGACGAGCGCATGTCCTGCACCGGATACTGGAACTGCTTGACGGGTCGTGCCAAGAGCCTTACATGCGATCTTGTCACATTGAGGTGTGTGTGCTCAATGGTCATGTACAGGTTCCGCATCTGGCTGATGCTTAGGAGGATCGGTACAGCGCCTTGTTCAAGGATGTCGATGTTGGCAAGGTCCAGCTTACCTTGGCTGTCTCTCCATTTGCAAAAGTGAACTTGGTCTCGGCCGGGGTGTACGAGTAGAAACAAAAACGTCTTTCATGGGGATCTGGTAGAACCATCGCATAGGTCGGATTGTGCTGTGGGTTGATGACAGGCGCCATCAGCTTTGTTGCCAAAAGGCTTTGATTTGCTGTCGCTGCTCTGAAACTGTATCGGATTGGATCAGCTTCTCCTGGATGGCGTCCTTCTCATGCTGCTCATATGCGTCATGGAATGCCATCATCGCTTGTCCTGCGCTGGATGTCTCATGTAGCCTTGTTCGCTCCAATTCAATGATGGGTCCCAATCCAACCGGCAGTCTGCTGGATGGCGGGCTGCTCCTCCGTCTTCTCTGCAATGGCTGCAAACGCTTTTCTTGTCCGCCTTTTCCTTTGCCACTGTCATAGGATGGATCACCTTTGTTTCCATCATAGGGATATTGGAATTTTGATTTTCCTTGCTTTCCCTTCTTTCCTTTACATTTTCCCCAATACGCCTGGTCGTAGGGATCCTGATATTCATTGGCCATATTGGCCTTCCCGCCAGAGCTACCTTTTCGAAAGGGTTTGAAGCCACCTCGCTGGTGACTGCCCTTTTTGCTTGTTGATTTTCCTTTTCCTTTTCTCTTCTTGAATTTGAAATTCCGCCCAGACACCTTTCTTGCAATGAACGCATTGTTCTCCTCCAATACCCAAAATGTCTCTTCATCGTTGGTTGACATGAAACCTTCCAGTCCTTTTTCGTCCTCCGCCCAGAAGCCTTCTTCACCTTCGTATTCTCCTTGTTCCAGGATGTAGAAGGTAGTACTCCGATTTCCTCCGGGAGGTCGGATGGATGGATCTTGGATGGATGCTCTGGTCGTGATGAAGAGGTCGTGGTACTGCGTTTTCATCATCTCGTAGGTGTAATTTTTAAGCGAGATGTTTCTCAATGACATTGCACTGATCAGTCTCTCTCTCTCTCTCTCTCTCTGCTGATCTGACAATTCACTCTGGGTTCTGAAAAATTGTGCAATGAGGTTGTCGCTGAGGGAAATGCGTCCTTGTGCCTTGTCTGCATGCCGGTAAGGTACTGCCTGAGTACTTCTGGATTGTCGATTTGCAGCAGATCTGGAGGCGATGCTCGTGTACCAGCTGCTTGCTGGCGCGCGTCAATTCTTCTTGCATTGGCACCTTGTACTGATGCTATGAACTCTGGTGACTGTGCCGTATGTGTGGGCATCAAAGTCCATCCAGGCTGCCTTCAATCTCATCAAGAGAATCTCAAATTTGGATGTGAATATGAGGAACTCGGTGTTCTGCCTTCTGTGATTGAAGAAACTGAGAAGTCTGTACAAGTACACGTCGGTCGACCCTTTCAGGAAGAACTTGTTCAGCGCGCCAAGAGGTCATTCTGGAGGACTGCCTTGTACATGTGAGCGTCTCCAATGAGACGGCTCTTGAGGAGGGGTCCTCTCTTGGATGCCTCGATGGTGGTGAAAGCCACCCAATGATCTACAAGTTCTTCATATCTAAACCAGCTGACTTTTCCGTCGTACGATGGCGGCTGCTTGGCGGTCATCGATAAGTTGAGCGCTCTTCAGTGTAGCCGGATGATCGGCCAACGCTTGAATAGGCTTCCATGAGCGGAAAACCCGCTCCGCTACCACAAGCTGAGCCGCACTGCCGGGGGTACCGTACCCCGCAAGGGAACAGGTTGTGGTAGTAGAGAATATATGTGGTGGTCCCTGGATCTATTCTGCAAGAGAGTCCAATATGTCATAGTGGAGGAACTGAGAATGGGTGTCCCTGGTCCTGTGATCTGTGGATTGTTCCTGTAAGGCGCTCTGCTGCTCTCATTTTGTAATGGCCGCAGAATGAGTACTGCGTACCTATTATGCAAGAGACACAGGGGGGCCCACAGTAAACAAGGTCCGACATTTTAAAATTGGCATTGGTGCAAGTATTCTGTTGGCTCGAGCCTATCAGCCTTGAAGAGGTCCGAGGACTGCTTAAAGCCCACACTCTTTCCACCGCTCATGCTGGGTGGCCTGCTCCGCAGGAAACAATCCACTCTTTGCATGTTTCAAGGTCAACCCTGGTCTTCCGTCTCAAGCTGCTTGGCTCGTCTAGTGAGTCTATGTGACACTGCTCTCGTTGAAGCTTTCCTGCCGTCCACATTTTAGATTGCCACTGGCTAAAGCATGCAAGTCATTCTACACGCAATTGATACTTCTAACACTCTGATCACCTGCTTAGAATGCGGCTTCCAAAAACCTCTGTCCACTGTGGTCTCAAAGGAGCTGTCGTCATGCGATAGCTTGCCTTGGATTGGGCATGAATGGACCGTCAATCCGTTCTTCGCGCACAAGGGGTATAGCCAGAGCTGAGTTTGCATTTGTCTGTTTCTTCTTGGCGGTAAAAGCACACCTTTCTTCCAGTCTGTGAATGACTTAAAGAACGTTCTCAGGTTCCAAGGCTCGCTCATGCCGCATGTGCTTTGCAGGAATAGCAAAGAGGAGAGAGAGGGAGAGAGAACAAAAACAAAGCGAAAACTGATGCACTTGCTCTTAACTCAAGGTCGGGACATTTTGGTCCCCACTTGCATTGCCCACGCCTCAGCGGCGCGCAGGGGCACACAGCTGGACGTGGGTGGACAAAGCATCAACTGGACGGTCAGTGAAACTGCCTATCTGGATGGATGGATTCGTCTCTTGCCTATCTGCCCACTCAGCAGTGCCTAAGCTTGCTGAGCATCGGTATCCCGAAGATTGAAAATGCAAAGATTTTGGAGCGGTCGCCCACGTTTGAGTGAACTTCCGGGTACATGTCTTTCGGGCGGGTTCGGGGTGGGTTCAGGGTGCATTCAAGGTGGGGTGCCGTCGTGGGTTGGGTGGGCTTAAGGTAGGTTCCTTGCACGCTTGCTTGGTGGTGGTCGAAAACAAACAGCAACCTCCAATCCTTCCGGGGAAAACATCCTTAAGTCATACAGCACCCATTTGGAGCGCAGTGGCGCATCTTGGAAGGTTTGAGGCAGTGACCAAAACATGGGACAGGCTTCCCTTTTGTCACGGCCACCAGCAGCGCTTGTCCTGACACAGGATGGAAATGATTCATCGACATAACATCGACCTCTTGCAATGCCTTGTGGAACTCAAGCGCAGCCGCCACATCCCTGTTCCGTACGATGTGTGAAAAGGGCAACCCAAAACATGGCATCAGCGTTCTTTTTGGTCTTTCGACCTACAAGGACACACCATACTTCTAAGTCAACCCTTTTGCGTGTCAAACCGCTTGACATACTGCTGCCGCGTCTGGTCAACCCACTTTAAGCGGGTAGATCGTAGGGCACTCGGAGAGCAAAAAGGTGAAACTGAGATCTGAAACCGGATGAGACGGGAAACGCCTCCGAAAAGATAAACAAGGGTTCTTGTGACACTCGTGGTTCACAACCAGACTGCAACAGGTGAATGCCAAGGGTTGCCCAGGGCCTGAGGCTAGCTACTTCTCAAGGACCATCTTGGGTTTCAGCGTCAAGTTTGGTTTCTTCCGTCACACGCGTGTCACACGCATGTCGCACGCAAATGCTCTCCGTAGACTGCGTAGGACCAAGCCCTTAGGACTAGGTCACTTTGTTCCCACTCCAGTCACTCGCAGGGGCCCGGACATGCCCTTCACTGCAACTTTGCCGATCCTTCCGAGAGAGGAGCTCTTGAGCATCCCGGCAGACACTACGAGCTCGCCAATCATTTTGGCTGACTTTGACCTTGCCATTTCATCTTCTTTCTTCTGATGCAAGCCGTGCCCCTTGCCCCCAAGTGCCACAAGCCTGTCCATGAGAAGAAAATGGTTGTTGGCTTCAGCATGTGCCACTGCAGTGTACTCTCGCTCATCCTTTGCATTCATGTCAGCTCCTACCTCCAAAAGGAGCATTGATGTCTTCATGTTTCCGCTTGCTGCTGCCACATGGATGGGTGTCCTCTTCTTGCTGTCCTTGATATTGACATCAGCCCCCCATTCAATGAGCCGACACACTCCATCCACGTCATCATTGGCTGCGGCAACATGAAGAGCTGTTCTCCCGCACGAATCTTGCGAGTTTACTCTCACCCCATAGTTGTGGAGGAATTCCATGAGGTCGTAGCGCTTATTCTTTGTCACAATGTTGAACGCAGTCTCGCCTTTCTGTGACTTAGCAGAGAGGTTTGCTCCACGTCGGTAGCAAAGCTTGGCCAAGCCCATGTTGCCAGTGTGACAAGCATACTCCAGCAAGGTCTGCTCTGTCTCGACGTCGCGTGCATCAATCTCTGTGGTCTCCAGCAATCGCTCAAGCATGTTCATAAGCACAGTGCCATTCCTGGTCACAATCTGCTTCAGGTTGAAGCTGTTGAGCTTCTCACGCTGAGGCTCGAATGCATACTTCAAGTCGGCAAATGGATCAGAGGTACCCTTTTGTGACTTGAATTCTGAACCGATGGTTTTTGGTGGCTTCACTGGCTTCGGAGCATTCGGGGCGGTGTAGCCGGTGTTGGGCTTCGCTTCAGTTGTCTGAGGGGGGGCTTGCAAAGAACGTGGCTCTTCCGTTGCCATTTCGAGAGTGGCTGCAAAGGCCAAGTTAGCAGTCACGGGGCGGTACTGGACAGACCCCACATCCACAGAATCAGCCCCTTGAAGTAAAATCTTCATGAGAGCGTTCTCCATCTTCCGCAGGGTAACCTTGTCCATGACATAGAAGGCCGGGTCGTCCATTCCAGCATCCTTCACCTCGACACGAATAGCTAGCGTGCTGGGAGGGTCTAAAACGCTTGGCTGTCCTCTATGTGATTAACGTGTTTGCTCGGTTTCATCTCCCACGGCCGCAAACAAATGGCTGCGTGTCGTGCTGTGTGTGTGTGTGTGCGTGCGTGCGTGCGGGTGTGTGGGTGTGGGTGTGTGGGTGTGTGTGTGGGTGTGTGTGTGTGGGTGTGAGGGTGTCTGGGGGGGGCCAAGCTCGCTTCAGGGCAATCCAGCGCGCAAGTCACTCGCTCCGTTCCTTTTTACGACCGCTTGGGAAAGCGGGAGCTGCCCAGAATAACATGACTTGTTGGGCACAAGGCATAACATATGCCCGCGTGGACATCGGCTTGCGAGAATTGAAGTTGCACGGCGAAAGTAGCGAGGCGATCAGCAGGCAATTGCTTAAGCTTTGCGTCGCCCGCTTACCCAGGGGCTTGAAGCCGAGGGGGCAGGCCACGCAGACTAGGCAGGACCCGCCGGTACTGGAAGATGACTCCAGTCTTGCGGGCGTGATCTGTTTCGTATATGTCTCAAAGGACCGCCGCGACCGCGCTACCGCAGACTGCGCTGCGAGGGCGGCTGCAGGACCAAGCCCTTCAAGGACCTCGCTTTGCGCGAGGCTCGACAGCTTGGAGGGCGTGCTGTATGACGCAACACGCAAACACTGCTGGAAGTCCGGTGTGGCATCCCAAGCAATCGAGCCCGTGAGCTCGGGGGAAAGCTTGGACAGCACTGATGGCAGCCTGGCCTCCGCAATGGCGGCCGAGCCTGCTACGTGTTTGACCTTTCTCACTTT